AATATAACTAAAAACATATATATATATATCGCTTTCTCTGCCCGTCTATTTTGCCTGAATCGCAAAAGTCCTTCTGAGTTTAACATAGTCGTAAAAACACACATAGCATCTGTCTATTCTATGTTAAATAGTCTGGCCGTCCACTAACTTTCTAGGCTCCTCCAGCGCAGGGCATAAGAACCGGCCCACACATACGTCAAGTCTGAATCAATAAATCATTCTGAGAACAAAAGGTTGTTACCTTATTATAATTCAATTAGCTGTACCAAAAAAGCAAAAGACTTGTTCTGCTCACAACAGCAGTTAATCCCAGCCAATCACTTTCTCTTGTTCCAATACTGCTACCATAGTTATCTATGCAGGAGGGTGAATTATTCATTTCCCAGCACCCAAAAGCGTTGGCTATCGCTTCAATGGCCACGACGTATGCAAGAAGTGAATGGGAGCTAAGGGACAACCTAAGAGACTTGCAAGGCGTCTCCAGACTTACAAAATTAGGACAGAGTGATTTCAAGGAGATACCGGTGGTTCAAAGATAAACACCAGTCTTCGTTAATGCAAGGATAAGAGTGGACCAGCTGCGAAATCTCATCCTAGCAGACTCATGGAGAGAGCTTTCCACCGGCAAGCTGATGCCAAAAGAGAGAACTTAAACTGGCCAGAAAGAGGAGGAAGAGGAAGAGGGAGAGGGAGAGGAAGGGAATGAAGAAGAGGAGCAGGAGTAGAAGGCAAAGGTGGAAGGGGTCGTAGCTCTTATGGGAGTAGAATAATTGGGTTGTACAGAGCAACAGGGACTGGGCATCTTTCGCCGAGGATCTAATCTCAGAAGAGCTTGAATGAAGCAAATACAGGCCACCCTCAAACAAACGCATTAGTGGCCATACTTCAAGCCGCAGTGAAAGCCACCAGATGGTGTGGATACAATGTGGTGCGTGGGTCAGATGAAATCACATTATGAAATTAACTATGAACGGATGAGTTAATTCATGAGTGATCGTTTGGCACATTTGCTGTGCCCGGAAGAGCACATTTTTTTCCTAAAAACCCGAAGAACTTGACATTAAAGTCGCCTTTGCATTGATTTTCATTTGGCATGTTGATGCCATGGAGCAGTCTTGAAAATGTGAAGCTAGGAAAATCACTTTAAGAAATACTTTTTCTGCATTACTATTTGTTACCTGCGTGCCCACTTATGTTGAGTAGCAATTAGTTCTTCTTGCTGAATGCCAATTCTCATTTTCATGTTGCTATGATTCCTTGGGTGAAGGTACGATTTTTCTCTTTAAATGGTCTCAGTCCATTCTGAAAAAGTCATCCATTCACATACCTTCTCAAGTCGATTCATGTTAATCCTAACAGCGTCGAAAATGCCAAAATTTGTACACATTCAAACAATCCTGCTTTTAACATTTCGGCTATGAAACAACTCGATATACCCTGTAAGATAGTACTGAAATTGTTTTATAATAACTATATTTTATTGCGAGCTTTCTTTTACAAACTAACAAAGATCTGTCCATTCGCTTAGCATATCATTTCAAACTTGGGCTAACGTGTACTTCCGTTTCCCCACAGGAGCCTGGTTTGTTTCTCTTAAGGCATTTTACTGCTTCCCCTTTCCTTTTTTTAAAGTCCCTCAGCAAGTAAACGCCAGAGACTGAGTTGCCGGAAGTTAGAATAAAAAACTCGTCTCTTCATTATTTATGATATTATCCAAATTCAATAGGTTTTTTTAACGACTAAATTAGCAATATAGTATGCAATTTATCGTACACACCCAAGCAGTAACTGGTTTTTGAGAAATGTACCGAGCTACCCCAACACAGCATAACATGCATTTTAAGACAACTTAAAGAGCTTTCAGTTTTATACAAAACGGTCCCGATTTAAGTTGAACTAAGCTGTATTTCCCGTAGTCGTGTTAAAAAATTTACGTCTAAGTTACTAACATTACCAATCTATTCAGTGGGATTGCTTAGCCGTTTTATGTGATTTGACAAAACTGGTGTTATCATAAGGGTGGGATACTTTATCCTCATATTGCTTTTAAGTAATGCATTTACCACGCCAGTCATAGAGGTGGGTCACGTAACTTGTATGCTCACAATGGCTCATAACTCATCCACACCTGAATGATGGAAGGATGAAGAAACAACTAATCTTTTTATTGTCTATAGATTGGAAAAAATTATTTCCTATACCACACTTATTTGATCCCTACGCTCCACCCTTACACCATTTCTTTTTTAAGTCTGAATGCAAGGTATAGAATTAATTATTTTACCTTTCACTAAAGTGTTGGTATCTTTTAATGTCAGGCAACATTCACATTTTGTCTTCTCTGAGCTAATTTGGAAAGATATTTTTCCAGAAGAATTAACGATATTATATGCACATATAGCTAACAAAAAATTCTGATTTAGATAAACTCCCTCTCCTGACAACTGGCATAGCATGGATGAATTGATTTGATAGGAATGGCAATGAATGACTCTGTTAAATATCGTTTTTGGAACTGGTTATCAACTCATTTGTTTGTCTCAATGTTGCGAGCAATCAAAATAAAGGAAGCTGAAATGATATAATGCAAAGAGAGTTCTGAGAGATCACTTGTTTTAGTAGACTGTTTACACAAATGAACGAACGACAAATACTTCGATATGCTATCTTTATGCTTGGCTTTGACGCCATTTTTCAATTCAGCGAGTCTAAACCGGGCTTTTGTTTCCTACGCGATTTTTCTATAAGTTTAAGTGGCAAAGATTCCCAGCTTCCGAATGGCCAGCTATGCGCTATAATGCTCCTTGTGGGCATTGATAATAAACTAGTCCCAGTAACACGAAGTGGAAGGTGAAGTTCGCCATTCAATCACTCCTCGCCGATAGTTAAACGAGGGCATCACACTTTCTACCACCTAAATCCTCCGCGGGATTCGAACCAAGGGCTGACTTTTAGGCGTCAGCATGTTTCCGGATAGGCACGATATTAATTTCTTCAGCCTTGAAAAAAATTTTACTTTTAATCTGTTAAGATAAAATGAATCAATCCTAAACACATTTAAGCCGTTCTAAAACTAATGCTGTAACCGTAAATGATAGATTTTTGAGCCATTTTGTGGAGAGTGATTAGGGTCGAATGTTCGTTGTGATAAGTAAGTCTTATAAAAAATCCCATG